AGAGCTACAGCATATATATATATATATATATATATGCTGTAGCTCTATTTTAGCTCAAAATATACTCTTCACATCTATTTAGATTATTTATTTTTATTTATTTAACCTTTATTTTACCCGGCGGCCGGCGGGACATTAGTTTCTTATTGACAGCGTTAGCCTGGCACTTGAAGGGGTAAGGGAAAAGGGGAAACAATGCAAAAACATAAAAACATAAGAATCACCACCTGTGATCATCAGAGTCTTCAAATAGTTTTACAAGCAAACTGAAAGTTTTAGCACGGCGACTGTTTGCTTGAGACGTCTGCCTCTGATTAACTTGGCAGTCAGGGAGTGAGAGACGCAGGTGTGGGGTTACCATGGTGACTATAACAAAGCACTGGCTGCGCTTCATCGAGAACCTGCTAATTAAAACTTTATCTAACCGTCAGATGCTGAAGCTAACGGGACGCCCTGCGACCTCACCTGTTCCTGGTGGGGTGGGCCGGCGGGTTCCCGTGGCAACATCCAGACTTGAACTTCCTCCAGATTTACTGCCATGGAAACAGCAAAAACAAATAAACAATGTTAGAAAGTAACCCATCTCGCTGATTCAGATTCACATCTGTCATTTGAACGTACTGATCACTTCTTAATAAACATAAATATTCTGTTTTTTATCTGTAAATATGGAAACAGACGAGCCCAGCGCACGCGAGCAGAAGCTGCACAGAAGAATGAAGTGACTCACAGCTTCGGCTTTTGTCTGTTTCAGCTTGTTGTACGTCACCTGGAGGATGAGCAGTGATTCACGTTCGACCCGTTTCACCAAGTTCTGACGACCTGTCGTGGTTACCTGGAGCTGAGCCGGTTCTGTCTCATCCGCTGCTCCTGCAGCTGACGGGTGTTCTCCAGTTTGACGGGGCTGGGGATGAAGCCCACCTCGCAGCCCTCCTTCACGAGACGCCCGATCCACCAGTCGTTGTTGTACTTCTGCACAAACAACAAACAACCAGGCGTCCGTAAACAAACACACCAGGTCTTCAGGCACAAACGCAGCATCATTAAAGACAAAGTACTGGATTTTTCTGTGCTTTGGATTTGAAGTTTCAAACTTCTAGCACAATTTCTACATCATTAAATGGTTGCTAGTTCAAACGCAGGGTCCTCGGTTGTTTATGGACTTTACTTCTGCTCACACGGAGCCGTTTCAGTCAGTTAGCCTTCTGATTTTTTAAATTTATTTAGTTCATTTATTCATTTATTTAAAAGAAACAAAATAAAACAAATTCATCCAAAAAAAAAAACATTGAATGAAAAGTGTGCAGAAAGAAGAAAAAAACACTATAATATCTGCCCCTTATTTAAAAAAATATATAAAATAACTTTAAATAAATAACAACTTAAGCTTGAATGACGATCACTTTGATTCTGATGATTTTAGCTTGAGCTAATTTACTAATGTTAAGAAGCCTTTCACTGTTTATGTCTTTTAGCTTTTTTTTTTAGCTAGTTTTGCTACTTTTAGAGAACTATTGTTTTTGCTGTTTTTGCTAGCATTTAGCTAATTTTGGATCTTTGCTAGTCGTTTTCTGGTTTTAGCTCCAAGCTACGATTATGCTCCTTTAAGCTTTTAAATAGCTCTTTGTGCCACACTTTCCATGCTACATGCTTTACTTTTAGACATTAGGTAGCATTTAGCTTTTAGCTACTGCACTGCTACATTTAGCTAGCTAGCCTTTAAATGGCTTTAGCTGGCCCTCTGTTTCCATTTGACACTTTTGGCTTCTAGTTAGTCATTTGGTATTTTTTTTGGAAGAATTTAACTATTTCTGTATTTTAGCTACCTTGTGATGCTTTAGCTTTTGGCTAGCCTTTTGTTTCTTTTTAGTTTTGCTACATACAGCTAATTTTTCACAGTTTTTGCTAGCATTTTGCTAATTTTGAATCTTTTGCTAATTTTAGCGCCAAGCCACCATTTTGCTCCTGCAAGCTTTTTTGCAGCTTATTGCCATTTTTAGCTTTTAGCTAGCCTTTTCATACTTTTACCTAACTTTTGCTACTTTTAACTCGTTCTGAGAATTTTAACTGTACTTATGTTACTTCAAGCTTTTGATACTTTAGTTTCAAGTTAGTCATTTGCTACTTTTACCATAATAGTCCTCCTTTGATATTTTCAATAGCTTTTTGCCACATTTAGCTTTTAGGTGGCCTTTTGCTCCTTTCAGTTCTAGTTAGTGTTCTGCTTATTTTAGCTCTAACATCTCAGTTTCAGCTTCTTCATTAAATTCATTCAGCCCTCAGATGTCATTTTTGCAGAAAATATAGTTTCTTTAGTTAAACTTGTCATGTTAAGACAACACAGCGATTCACGTGTTAGTCCTGAAGAAGTCCTCCAGCTCTTTCTTCATCTCTGTTGCCTGTAAAACATTTTAAACCTGTATTTTCTCTTCACCCCCCACCCCAGAATTTGGATCCCCGGTCTCTCACTGCAGTGCACCGACACCCACTCGTGGCAGAACGATGCAGCAGAGCCTAAAAGCTCATTGGCTTTCCACCCACCATCACTGCCAGTTGAATCCCTGCTCCTGACACCCTCCTCTCCACAGGCCCTCTTCGGCTGCGTCGGAGCCTACTCGACAATGAAATCACAACTTTGTGTTCTGCAGTGGAGCACAGCTGCTGTTCAAACCTCTTTAATGTGCAGGAAGTCTTTGGCTTCAAAGGAAATGGCCATGCCCTGCACCGGAACGTCATCACTGGGACCTGGGTTGTAGCCGACATTCGTGCGCACAGCAAACGCCACTGGTTTGGTCTGGAGTCATAATAGGAAAGAACATCAGCACATGCAGGTTTTTGAGCATTAAACAAACAGTTTGCTGCCTCCGCATCAAAATCAAAGAGGACTGAATTCAAACTTAATTTCTTCAGCTTTAAGATTAGGTAATGATGAGAAATGCACAAAGACGGCTTCGTTTTTAAAACAACATAAACTTGATCTGCTGCAGATTGCCGGCACAGTTGATTTCTGACCTTTGCTTTCTCAAGCGTGGCAAGAGCCTGTCTGTCCGCCTCCTTCCTCAGAGCCTCGGGGTCCTCCTCCAGGGACACGTCCGAGTCCGATGGCCGGCTGGTGTAGGAGTCTGCGGAGCCCTGAAACGCACATTCAGTTCACCAAAAGATGAGCGATGAAGCATTAGAAGCAATAAAAAAATCATTCACGGAGCTTCATGTTTTCATCAAATCACCCGTTTGTTCATCTTCGGCTGAACATGCGTCCCGGACCTGAGTTTTCAGGTCCACGGAAAGCTACATGAACATAAAGGGGCCCTTCATATCGCATGCAGGCTGACTCTGTGTAACTTGAGGGGGGAAACGATGCATGACAAGCTGACATTTCCACTGCAGCAGCAGCGCAAGCGAGCTCTGAAATCTTTGTGCAAAAAGGCACAATAGGTTTGGCGTGTGGGCGTGTCGAGTACGAACAAAAACACGAGCTGAGGACTGTTTATAATATCAGCGAGGGTATAAAATTCTCATGAAGTGGCTAAAGTTTCCAGCACATTCACCACTCAGCTGCAGTAACCCGACCCTCTCCTGCTGACCCTGCTTCAGACGCCCGTGCGGCGATGAAAAGCTGCAGCTCGGTGCACCCTTTGAGTTTGAGCTTTCAATTTATGTAACAATCCTACTTGTTCTCAGTTTTTCTTTTGTTTTTATGTTGTTGTGTTTTTGTTTTTTTAGCCGACAGGCTGCCTGGCGCTCTGTAGGAGGTGCTGACAGGAATGCGGACAGCTGAATGTGCCAGGCAGAAGAAGTGAGTCACACGCTGTAGGTTTTTAAAATAGTTGTGAGAATGCACCAAAAGATGACATGCACCGTACGTGATGCTGATTGAAAAATAACCCAAACATTAAACACAAATCAACAAGTACTCAGCACCAGGCGGAGGACTTTGTTTTGGATCTGATGCATCAGTTTCAGTGACATCGAACCGTTTTTAAATGTTACAAAGTGGGCCAAACGCTCTCAGTGATTCACTTTTATCGCCCACCCTCAATAAACAAAAGCAGAAAATAATGATGTTGCTCTTGTCTGGCTGTGTGAATTTGTCTGTGTGTCTGTTCCCAAACTACCGCATGAATTACTGGACAAACTACTAAACTTGCGAACAGGTGACCTTTGTCAGTGAAAAGCAACCGTCAGACAAGAGTGAGGTTCTGCCTCGAACGGAGGAGTTCGAGTACCTGGGTTTTGTTCAAGCGAGAGGGAAGAATCGCGCCTGAGATTGACAGATGGATCGGTGCAGCCTTTGCAGTATTGTGGATGTTGTGCCAGTCTGAATTGGTGAAGATGGTTCTGAGCTACAAGGAGAAGCTCGGTCTGCGTTCCTATTCCCACCTGCGGTCTCAAACTTTAGGTGGTGGCTAAAAGAACGAGATTGTGGCTACAAGCGGTGGAAGAAGGTCAGGAGAGACTCGGAGAAGAGCTGCTGCTCCTCCACACTGAGCTAGCCTTTCAATGGCTTTAGCTGGCCCTCTGTTTCTGCTAGATTTTAGCTAGCCTTTTGACACTTTTAGCTTCCAGTTAGTCATTTGGTATTTTTTGGAAGAATTTAACTATTTGTGTCTTTTAGCTACATTCTGATGCTTTAGCTTTTGGCTAGCCTTTTGTTTCTTTTTAGTTTTGCCACATACAGCTAATTTTTCACAGTTTTTGATAGCATTTTGCTAATTTTGAATCTTTTGCTAATTTTAGCTCCAAGCCACCATTTTGCTCCTACAAGCTTGTATGCAGCTTATTGCCATTTTTAGCTTTTAGCTAGCCTTTTGATGCTTTTAGCTAGCCTTTTGATGCTCTTAGCTAGCCTTTTGATGCTTTTAGCTAGCCTTTTGATGCTCTTAGCTAGCCTTTTGATGCTTTTAGCTAGCCTTTTGATGCTCTTAGCTAGCCTTTTGATGCTCTTAGCTAGCCTTTTGATGCTTTTAGCTAGCCTTTTGATGCTCTTAGCTAGCCTTTTGATGCTTTTAGCTAGCCTTTTGATGCTCTTAGCTAGCCTTTTGATGCTCTTAGCTAGCCTTTTGATGCTCTTAGCTAGCCTTTTGATGCTTTTAGC